TGGAAAGTATTATCCTAAGTGAAACAAGCCAAGCAGAAAAAGACAAATACCACATGATCTCACTTATATACAGAATATAGTGAACATAACAGTCTGAGGAATACAGTAGACCCAGAGACATAGAAGTGGGGTACAGACTGACAGCCCTCAGAAGAGGGGGTGGTGGGGATGGGAAGAGATAAACCACAGAACTTATATGCATGTGTGCATAACCAATGGACATGGACAACAAAGCCGGGGACGGGGCGGGGGGGATGGGGAGGAGAGTGCCAGTGTGGTAAAAAAGGAGAAACATCTATAACAAAAATCAAATTAAAAAAAGAAAGAAAAAAATAAAACAAAATGGCTTGAAATTCAGAGATATAATGAGTTTTATTAGATCATTAGTCTAACCACTTTGTTTTTCAAATGAGACTAAGATATAGAATTGCAGAATGAGAGCATTGGTTCCCAAATGCTGCTACAAGGACTGTCAGTCTGAACTTCAATGAAAATTTCTCCAATCCCAGAAAAATAGGAACTACTGGCAACCAGTCTTTCTTGGGAAGAACCATCCTTTATTCTGTGAATATATCTTACTTTTTTTTCTATTAAAATGCCTCCCCTCGTTTTTAAAATCAAATGATGCTAAGAGTAAACATTTTCTTAATCTCATATGTTTCTTGATAGAAAAATGTCTGACCCCTTCATCCCCCAATTTTTTTCAGATCTGTGTAGTTACCAAAATCCAAGAGTTGGGAATCTCTTGTAAAGAACAAAGCATGAATTTACCCAATAAAAAATAGAGGGGGAAAAAAACCAAAAAAACAGAAACAGTTCAGAAAAGGAAAAAAAGTCTACCCTTACTAAAAATGCAAATTAAAACAATATGCTTTATTATTGGGAGTGCAGTGAAATTGGCATTTATACCCCTTTTTGGAAATGTGAAGTTATACAATGTATTTAAGGGTCAATTTGGCAGTATGATTTTTTTTTTTTTTATCCTCACCCAGGACATTTTTACATTTATCTCCAGATAGAGCAGGAGAGAAGGGGGGAAGAGAGAGAGAGAGGAACATTGATGTGAGAGAGACACATCGAGTGGTTGCCACCCACACGACCCCAACTGGGGCTGGGGACAAACTGCAACCGAGGTATGTGCCCTTAGCGGGAACCGAACCCGGGACTCTCTGGTCCACAGGCCGATACTCTAACCACTGAGCAAAACCAGCCAGGGCGGCAGTATGGTTTTTAAAAAAATTTTTTTATTGATCGATTTTAGAGACAGGAAAGGAAGGAGGGAGAGAGAGACATCGATTTGAGTGTTCCACTTATTTATGCATGCATTGGTTGATTCTTATATGTGCCCTGACCCAGCATCAAACCAAAAACCTTGGAATATGGGGACAATGCTCTAACCAACTGAGCTACCTAGCCAGGGCAGTATGTTTTAAATTTATTAAATTGTATGTACAATAGTCCCCCCTTGTCTGTGGTTTCCACCATGTCAGTTACCCACCCAGTCAACCGGGTCCAAAAAATATTAAATGGAAAATTCCAGAAATAAACAATTCATAAGTTTTAAATTATGTACTGTTCTGAGTGGTGTGATGAAACATTGGGCCACGCCACTCCGTCCTGCCCAGGACGTGAATCATCCCTTTGTACAACATATCCATGCTGTATATACTATCTGCCCTTTAGTCGCTTAGTAGCTGTCTGGGTTAGCAGATCATTTATTTATGAGAGATAGACCACATTCATATAACTTTTATTATAATTGTTCTATTTTACTACTACTTATTATTGTTAACCTTTTACTGTGCCTAATTTATAAATTAAACTTTATCATAGATGTATAGGAAAAAACTTGGTATATATACAGTTCAGTACTATCCACAGTTTCAGGCACCCTCTGAGGGTCTTGGAATATATCCCCTATGGATAAGGGGAGACTACTGTATTCTTTGGCCCAGCAATCCTACTTCCTGGAATTATTCTAGGAAACAATTATAAATATGCATAAATACTTATGTGCAAAAATGTTTGTAGGATCTTCTAATGTCAAAAAAAGAAAAGGAAATAGCTTAAAACAGCGGTTCTCAACCTGTGGGTTGCAACCCCTTTGGGGTCAAATGACCCTTTCACAGGGGTCGCCTGAGACCATTGGAAAACGCATATTTCCAATGGTCTTAGGAACCAAGACACCATTCCTCTATCCATCTCCAGGTGGGTCCGCCCACATGCAGATACGCCACATGCAACATGAGAAACTGTATTAAAGGGTCGCGGCATTAGGAAGGTTGAGAACCACTAGCTTAAAAATCAAACATTTAAAGGGATTGATTAAATATGTCTGGCACATGAATTGATTATAACCATTAAAAACCAATTGTAGAATAATTTTTAATGTCAGAAAAATGTTAATGGTATATAGTTAAGTAATAAAAGCAGATTTAAAAACAATATGCATGTACAGAAGGAATTCAGAAGGCAGGAAGGACACTTTCCCAGTTCCTTCTATCGACTTCCCAGCCAGAAGTCAGCCCACCAGCCAGGAATATTCCTCTGCAGGAAAGTCCCCTTATGGGAACATTAAGAATAGGGAATATGGGGGATGGGAGAAATCAAAAGAGATTGTTAAAAGAGTACAAACTTTCAGTTTTGAGATGAATAAGGTCTGAGCATCTAATGTATAACATGGTGACTATAGTTGACAACACTATTGTATAATTGAAATTCGTTAAGGGAGTGGAACTTAATCATCATGCTGTACACTTTATATCTTACAATTGTATTTGTCAATTTTACCTTGTTTTCTTTTTTTTTTTAATCCTCACTCGAGAACATTTTTTGCATTTATCTTTAGATAGAGTGGGAGTGAGAGAGGGGGGAAGAGAGAGAGAGAAACATTGATGTGAGAGAGACACCTCACTGGTTGCCACCCACACAACCCCAACTGGGGCCAGGGACAAACTGCAACCAAAGTACATGCCCTTAGCGGGAACCCAACCCAGGACTCTCTGGTCTGCTGGCCGACCACTGAGCCAAACTGGCCAGGGCCCTTTGTTCTATTTTTATTTAACCATTTATTTAGTCACTCTTACCTTGATAAAACTGAGAGTGGGAAATAACTGGGAATAGGGCTTCCCCCTCAACATCTCTGAAAATGTACATTGTTGAATAAACAAGTATTAGTTCTTGAGGTAGGTAAAAAATAGAACCTCCATCCCAAAAATATTAGAACAATATACAAGTAAACATTGGTACAGGGAATTCATTATAGTTATATCGCTATGTGCTCCTTGGGAGTAGCAAACTTAGCAATTATATGGCAGAAAGATGGGTTCACAACCTGCTTTCAAGAAATTCTTAGAATTATGTTGTAGATACCTGAATACATTCAGCAACAACTTATTAATGCCTACTTTGTTCAAGGAAGAGTGCTAAAACTGGGATATAATACTACATAAAATGCAAATAGTGCCTTGAAGCTCCCAGGCTAGTGGTGAAAGCAGGTGCATACAAAATTACAATGAGGTGAGCTAAAGTGATTAGAATGCCATTAGAGTGATTATGCTGAGAGACTCAGATAAGGTTCTGGAGAAAGGAAGATTTAGGTTGTGTTGGATGGAGAATAGGAATTCTATGGAATATCATTCAAAAGCATTAGACCAGAAGAAAAGGAACTTTGTCTTTGGGTTGAATCTGGCACTCATCTAGGTTTCGCCAGCTAACCTTAATCTAACCACTACTGTTGCAGCTCTAAGAGTAATATCCCTCGTGGGCTGCATGGCTTTTCCACTCAGACCTGAACCTTTAGATAAATGTGTCATTAACTTAGCTTTTCAATGGATAGTGATTATAGTTGCTAATATCTTGAAACATAACTAAACTTTAAGGTGTAAAAACAAGCAGTTTAAAATAATGAGAATGTCCTCTCCATCATTTTTTTCTCACATATATTTCCTCTGTTTTCTCTCTTCCCTCTGTGTAAAAATCTGAATCTCTTTCTTTTCCTTTTCCTATTATTCTCTGATTCATCTTTTCCTCCTGTTTTTTTTAACTTGTCAAAAATACAGAATTAAAATACTTTTTAAAGTATACTCGTAATTACTGTAAAGCATGGTAATTAAAATTAAAGTGCCATGTTTGCAGTTTCTACTTTAAAAAAAATTAATTAATTGAGCCTATTGTGTTATTATGAATAAATTAAGTAGCTTGCTATGTGTTCATTGGTTTTCCATTGTGCCCACCCCCCACCCCACCTTCCTATGAAGATACCATAGTAATGCTGTGATAACAACTATTATATTTGAATGCTTTTCTAACTGAAACAATGCTAGGAAGTCTTTCTAGTTTACACAGCACTTTCCTTGTCCAAAGTCCCATACAACTAAACATAATATTTCACCAAGATCTAGTTTTTTTTTAATGAAAATATATGCAAGTGTAGTAGTGTTACTAAGAACAACATGGAATGGATTTTTCATTCCTAAAATCATTATTCTTTGGTCTGGACAATTCACGCCTTCCTTAGTCTTAACTAGAGGCCTGTGCAAATACATTCCCTTTCCAGCCCGATTCTTGTCCCAAGGCTTTCCTAGAAAGAATTTTTACAGCTATCACAGTGCAGTTCTACAGCATAAATACACAAAAGCATGACCGTATGAAAAGAATAGATTGGAAGGATAGTTACAAAAGAACTCTTGTGTTTACAAAGGGTTTATTTCACAATGTTTTAAAAGAACATGTTTACTTAAGTCCATTCCAAATTATTTGAATTTTTCAGAAATGTATTTACTAGGTAAATAAAATTATCTTTTCCCCTCCTTTGTCTGATCTAGATGAGAATATCCTAATGCTACACCTCACAGCTCTTAGTTTGTTTGCCTCCATTATAACACCAACACCTCAGGTTGTGGAAGAAGCAACCCCACTCAGGAGAACAGGAGCTTCCCTCACTGCAGCCAAATCACTCCACTGCAAGTACTTCCCATCTCTAAAGTGAGGAAGCGAATATGTCACTTATTCTAAGTAAAAGAGAACATGATAAAAAAGATGTTGTTACATCATTTACTCCCTGGACGGAAGAAAATGATAAGGAGGACAAGTTTGAAGATGCCCATGAGATTATCCCTGCAGCAGCAACAATGACTCTAATATCTTCCCTGGAAGAATGCACAACTGGATTGTATTTATTTCTAAATAACAGGTTCTCAGATGCCATAAATCTCATTTATCCGTGGTCGAAAAACAGCATATACCATGCTCTAGTTTATGGTATCCTTATGGTTGTCAAAGCCATCTTGACTTTTGATCCACAGGATATAGAGATTGGAATGACTGCTGTAAAGGAAGCTTTGAAAACTTGTAACAATTTCCGAAGAAAAGGCAGGATGACAAGTTTTTCTCGTCTAGTGAGTAAACAGGGAATCAAGGCTGTCAAAGAAGAGGAATTGCATGCTGAAGTCTGCTATGCTGAGTGTTTGATCTTAAAATCAGCTGTAACACTTATACAGGACGACAGTATACTTGGTTTTCTTAAAAGTGGGATCAACATTGGGTTAAGTTACCAAATATACAAAGACTGTCAACAAATATTAACACAGATACCTACCAACCAAAGCAAAACCTCCAGACACCTGGTTGGAGGAATAAAATTTGGACTTGGAACATTCAATTTGATGTTATCACTTATGCCACTAAAGACACTTAAATTACTCAATGTTGTTGGATATTACGGTGATAAAGAGGTAGGCTTGACTTTGCTTCGTGAGAGTGCATCTGAATCCCATATTAATAATGTCCTAAGTATTTTGACACTACTCTTCTATTACAATTATATCTGTGTAGCTTTTGGTGTTGAAATGGGACATAATTCTTCTATAGAGAACCTCTTCCTAATGTATCTCCAGAAATTTCCAAAGTGTATCATACTTAAATTTTTTCATGCACGTTTTAGTATGTTGAAAGGAAGATTTGAAAATGCACAATCAACATTAGAGGAGTGCATTGTTATTCAGAATGAATGGAAGCAGCTTAATCACCTCTGTTACTGGGAACTCATGGGGTGCCACATTTTCCAGCAGAATTGGAAGCAGGCTTACCGCTACGCTGATCAGCTGTTTCAAGACAGCAAGTGGTCCAGGGCAATGTATTCATACAGTAAAGCTATGCTACTGGCTTTGCTTCCTTCTGGCTTTGCTAAATCAGTAAATGAGGACATGAACTCTCTCTTCTTAAATGTGGATAGCCTGAGAATCAGATTTTTAGGAGCTTCTGTGCCAATAGAAAAGTTTGTTGCTGAGAAGGGTCAGCGCTATGGTTCTACTACAGGCTGGTTTACAGCACAACCCATTCTGGAATTCATTTATGCCTGGAGTGGTTTTCGAGTCATGAGCAAAAGACTACACCTTATTTCATGCTGGCTATCAATAATTGACAAAGGACACGATCTTTTACGAGAAAATCCAAGTAAAGAGTATGGCACAGATGACATAAGTTTGCTAAATTTACTGAAAGGTCTATGTCTGAAACACTTAGGCAAATATTCGATGGCTGAGCAGTACTTTAATCATGTTATTCAAAAGCAGAAATTGTTAAAATATGACCATTATTTGGTGCCGTATGCTTACTATGAACTGGGAATTCTATACTATCTGAAAGGAGATTATGACAGTGCAATAAAAAACCTAGAAAACATAAAAAACTACAAAGACTATTCCATGGAAGCCCGGTTACAGTTTAGGGCTCATGTAGCTCTTGAACAAATAGCTAAAGAAAAGTGATGTAGATACAGTGTGGTTTTGTTTACTGTGAGTGAAGTATCTACAGTCAGTAAGATAATTAACAGGTAGAAAAATCATTTCTTTGTGGAAGAAATCCAAGAAGAGGCAGCTGCTAAGAATCTGACTGGCAACAAGAAATAAATTCCTTTTCCCTCTTTCCTTCTTCATACCTATAAAATGGAATGTCTTAGACTGGCAAATGGAGTGATGTACATTCTTGACAAAGAAAAGGCAAATGATGTACTTTATAAAAGATACTCTCATGTAGCTATGAACTTATCAATCATGTTAGAGAACATTTTCAAAATGCAAAATATATATATATATATATATATATATATATATATATTATCCTCACCTGAAGATATGTTTATTGATTTTAGAGGGAGAGAAAGGGGGAGGGAGAGAGAGAGAGAAACATCAATTGATTGCCTCCTGTGCCTGCCCCCACCAGGGATCAAACTGCAACCTAGATATGTGTCTTGATTGGGAATCAAACCCACAACCTTTTGATGCACTGGATGATGCGCCAACCAACTGAGCCAGCCAGCCAGGGCTAATATGTATTTTTTAAAATATTTTTTTATTGATTTTTTTTTAGAAAGAGAGGAAGGGAGAGGGAGAGAGAAACATTGATGTGAGAGTGAAACATCCATCAGCTGCCTCCTGCTTGCCCCCTACCAGGGATTGAGCTTGAAATCCAGGCATGTACCCTGACAGAGAATTGAACTTTCCATGCACGGAATGATGCCCAACCAACTGAACCACACGGGCCAGGGTCAAAAAATATTTTTAACCTCTCATTAGGTAATGTATACAACTCACAAATAAAACAGGGAAAGTAGCTACACTAGGAATCCCAGTGCCCTGTACATAGTTTTGGGGGTTTTTTAATCCTCACTCGAGGACATTTTTCCATTTTTTGTCCAGATAGAATGGGAGGGGGAGAGAGAGAGAGAGAGAGAGAGAGAAACATTGACGTGAAAAGGAGACATTGAGTGGCTGCCACCCGCACGACCCAACCAGGGCCGGGGACAAACTTCAACCGAGGTTTGTGCCTTTAGCGAGAACTGAACCTGGGTCTCTCTCGACCGCAGGGCGATGCTCTAACCGCTGAGCCAAACCGGCCAGGGCTACATGTTTTTATTTAATTGGTAAAAGAAAGAAAAAAGTTTAAGTTCTTACTGACATTTCAAAATAATGATGAACTGAAGAGCATAGACTATGAATAGTTTTCCCTCATTAACAATAATTTGTTGTTGTTGTTAATCCTCATCTGAGTATATTTTTCCATTGATTTTAGAATGGGAGGGAGGAAGGGAAAGAGAGAGAAACATTGATGTAAGAGACACATCGATTGGTTGCCTCCCGCATGACCCCAGGGCTGGGGAGAGAACTTGCAACCCAGGTATGTACCCTTGACCAGGAATTGAGGCCATGACCCTTTGGTCCACAGGCCAATGCTCCAAGTGCTGAGCCAAACCGGCCAGGGCCATACACAGTAATTTTTATTGGCTTTTTATACCAAGGAGGATATTTACTCCATGTGCTCAGTAGTATATTTTACCTTTTTTTTTTTTAGGAAGCCTAAACATGGGGCTATAATTTACAGCAGTGTAAAAAAGAAAGAGCTGCCCCCACCCCCATCCATACACACATAATAAACCCTTTGTAGATAATGGGAAGAGGCCAAGAGGAAAAAATAAAAAGACAAGATAGTTTAGTTACCACTAGCCCTCCCTTTAGCTGCCTTCCCTAAGGTATAATTCCTATTAAGACCAGCTCTTCAATATAATTAAACCACTTGCATCTATCCTGTGTCATTGTTAGTGGGCTAATCTGAGAGTAAATAGCAGCTGTAGGTATGGATCTTGGTATTGTTTTACCCACCTTAGGGATAAAATCAGTCCCTAGTTTTTAGACCATTAAGTCTGGCTGAGTGTGTCCTCTATGCAGTCACCTTCTTTTTGTGGAAAAAGAAGTTGCTGGGAAAGTTTGCTTTGCTGAAACACATTATCTTAATGCTTTGAGTGTCCAAACAACCCACTGGAGCACAACTTGGGGCTAGTACTTCAGATTTAGAAATGCTTAGGTTGAAAAACTTATTCCTCATTAATTAAAAATGACTTTTAGGTGCACAACTGTACTTGAGCTATTCACTATGATTTAATAATGATGAAAGTATATAATGGTTAAGAGGGCAGGCTCTGGCCTGATTGCCTGGATTGGAATTCTAGCTCTGTCACTAACTAGCTGTGTGGCCTTGGGCCTCCTGTGCCTCAGTTTCCTTAGCTGTAAAATTGGGATAATAATAGTTCCTATCATATGGTTTCCCCGTGTTAAGACTTGAGTTAATATACATTTATTATCACTACGACTACTAGTAAGAATAATAATACATTATTCTTCAGCGAAGAGGATTTAAATTACTTTTTGGGAAAAAGCAAATATTTCTCTGTTACCTGCTTTGCCAATCTAACATTTGATCTGTTAATTTGCTTTTTTTCTGTTCTTACTTTATATTGGTCATTTATGAAATAAGTAACTCTGCTTAAATTTTGATTTTCTGTTTTGTACCAATTTCCAACAATGAATAACAAATTCATTAATTGGTTAAACAGATATATGTTGAATATCTACTATATGCAGGCATGAACAGAGCACTGAGGGTATAAAGATAAAGCATAGTCTCTCTCCTGAGGACTTTATTAGGGAGACAAGTTAGATAAGTATTTTGTTGGGGGTTGGAAACACTTAAAGCAGTTGCTTAAACCAACAGGAGTTTATTTGTCCCACACAAAAGAAATCTGAAGTGGGTAGTTCAGGTCTGGTCTGGCTCTTTTATCTTGTATTTTTCTGTGTGGCATATAGGCCTTCTCATGCATGTTTCCTCATGGTGGAATGAGGCTGCCTCACCTCCAGGCCTTATGTCCAAGCCAGGCAGGCTGGAGGAGAAATGGGTAAGGCACACCAAAGGCTTTCTCTTTCTTAGGAGGCTTTGCTTTTTTTATTTCAGAAGAGACAGCCTTCCTAAGAGTGTCCATGTATATCTCATTGGCTTAAAATATTCCTATGGCCACTTCTACCTACAAAAAAAAAGCTGAGAATGAGTTTTAGCTTTCAAGCCTCATTAATTTGGAGGTTGTGGGAAAGGACTGTTAAATGAACCAATCTGCAATTAACTGCCCCAACACATATATAAATAACAATATGCTACAGATGGTATTAGAGGGGCACAGTTGAAAAGGAGGCAAGGAGTCACCTGGAAAAGACTATGCAGATCTAACAGGAATCTTGGGATTGACATTTCCTTGGCGAAGTTGCTACCCACAGCCCAGGTTCTGGCCTTGAACAGGCCCAACAGTTGACTAGACACATTGAAGCTGATTTTTCACCGAATTCACAAGAAATTAAGGTATAATTTATTCTACTAATTTACTTATTTATAGTAGGGATTATTTCAGAATTGCAAACTCAATTTCCTGTAGGGATCAGGCAAGTAATATAAACATAGGAAAGAGCCAAATGTAAAACAAAAGTGGTGGGAACTAGTTGTGAAGAAGAGAGAGCAAACCTATCTAATGGCTTACAAATTATAAAGAAATTGAACACTGTGCAGATATTAAACCTGTCTGCACATCCTGATACAATCTTTAGCTCCTAGTTTGTGACTTCTGGTCTTTTCCTTTCTGTTGACTTGAAAGTGCTCATATTTCTGTCTCAAGAACCATCGCTTTTAATACACAATGTACCTAGAAAACTAGGAAGGAGTCAAGGGCGGCATGGTGACCATGCAACCAAAATATAAAGAGAAAGTTATAGGAATATCTATTCCAGGCCAGGGTGAGATATAATCCATCCATTCCTCACAATATGGATACATCTCTGGGAAGTCTCTGTCTTCCACATTCAGAGTGTCTGAGGAATATCTCCCAATCTTTTGCTTGCTGATGGTTCTTCTTTTATGCCTTCTGCTGCCAACCCTGGGTTACTGAATGTCTCAATAGTAGGGTTCAATACAATTATGTTTTCGTCTACTACAATATAATCCCATTCCAGCCCTGCTTCCAGAAAATGCAACCAGGTCGCTAGGTTTGGAATTTCCAGTCATACCCACATTCTTTAGTTACCCATATTATAGATGGTCTCTTTGTGCAAATGAATCACAGATCTAATCACATCCATTTTATTTAACATTTAGGGTTAGTTTATAAAAGCTTGGAGGAAGTACCTCAGTGTTGCCTTCTGTGCCATAAACATAGATAAAGTGCTATTGAAATTTTTTATTCCATGGATACATTTTCTTATTTAATTTAGTAAATATAATAACTAGTTGGAGGCCTGATATCCTGAAAAAATGAAGAGGAAGATGGGGCTATGAATGAAGAAAAGAACAAAGAGAATTTCTGTGAAAGACCTAGTATCAAAGTTCTTCTCAGCATGCCCTTGCCCCAGTCAATTACTAAATCCTCTTGGTTTCTGCTTTGAAATACTTGTTGAATCTACTCTGTTTTGTTTTTTTTTATCCTCACCCGAGGACATTTTTCGATATTTTGTTCAGATAGAGTGGGAGGGTGAGAGAGAGAAAGATCGACATGAAAGGGACTCATCAAGTGGTTGCCACCCACACAACCCAACCAGGGCCAGAGACAAACTGCAACCCAGGTACATGCCCTTCACGGGAACCGCACCCGGGTCTCTCCGGACCGCAGGCCGACGCTCTAACCGCTGAGCCAAACCGGCCTAGGCTACTCTGTTTTTTTTTTTTCTCTATTTCATTTCCATGCTGTCAGCTTAGGTTAGGACTTTATTATTTCCCATCTGGACCTAGTTTTTAGGAATTCAGTAGTGGATATCCTCTTTTTGTTCCAAGATAATTCCAGAGAAAAATAAAAATGGTTAACTCCACTTTTTTAAAAAATCAATATAGAATTATGTAAAATCTATATTCTTACCACTGACATTGATTACCTCATTGAATAAAAGGAACTCAATGGAAAAAAATGGCACTAATTTTTAGCCATAAAGACATTGTCTAGGCATAGTTGAGAGGCAGTGTACAAAGCAGCAGCTTTCTAAACTTTCACACATTACATTTGTTTAGTATATCAGAGTTCACAAAGTCTGTTCGAAGCATTTCATCCTAGGAAAATAGTCCTATCTTCATTCTACTGCTAGGGAAAGTAATCTTCCCTCCCTGAGGTTGTAAAATCTCCTCTCTGGGCAGAGTTGGGGAAGGCAGATAACTATACCGCCTCCTATAAACTGGATTTCCATTTGGAAAGTGGTTCTGGAAATTTTTTCCCTTAATACCACTGCTTTGTTGAGTAAAGAGGCTACATTGTACATAAAGTTTCATGCTGTATATGCTCTATACTTCCCTATTTTCCCCATATCCAATTTCTTTGTATCTGTCTAACACACCAATTTCACCATATCATTCCATCACTCAAATTTTTCAATTCTCGCTCTATTCACTAATTAAATGTTTGAAAGTTCTTAAAATAATGCCTGGCACATATTAGATGCAATATAACTGATTAAGAAATAAAAATTCAATTCAAACTGGGCACCACCTACTAATACTAGGCAATGCTTGAGGTAGGCTATCTGGTAGTAAACAAAACAGACATGGTCCCCACCCTTAGGGGGTTTATAGGGTTTACTAAGTGACTGTGTGTGTCTTACTCATGAAAATTTAGAGCCGAGAGGATCTTGGGTCATCTAATCTCTCATTTTTACTTATAAATAAGAAAACTGAAATCTAAGAAGGCAAATGACTTCCACAGTCCTAAAGCTGGTATGAGCACAGTCAGTGGTATGTAGGAACCAGATTAAACAGGCTCAAAAGAACCCATTGTTAAATATTCATAGTTTTTTGTGTGTGTGTGTGGTACGTGCCCCTAGTGGGAACCAAACCCAGGACTCTCTGGTCTGCAGGCTGATGCTCAACCACTGAGCCAAATCGGCTAGAGCTGAACTTGTAGTTCTTAACAGAAAACATACATGTACAGGTACACAATATATGCTTGATGAATAAGCATGGACATAAAAAATGAACGCTTCTAATGGGTTCTACTTGTTGAATAAGTGAAAAAGTTAAAACATTAAAAAAATCTTAGGCCTTGCTGTGGACATGACCAAAAAATATTTTCCCATTAGGTTTTTTCCCTGCTACGTTGGTAGCATTCAGCCTATTGGGAACATTTTCTTAACCCTTATTTTCATTGTCTAGATTAACATTGTCTAATATAAATACAGCACAAGCTATATGTGATTTTGTAATAGTCATTGGTAATTTTTACATAGCTGCCTTAGATCTCTGGAGTCTTGCAGATGTCCTCTGTCTAGCTAATCCTTTTATGTTGCTAGTGACCAGATAGTTTGTGATCACATGATCATCTCTATTCTTGTTATTTAGGACTGACTGAAATGACAACTGGATTGGGCCAAAAAGGGGATTAAGGAGTCAAACTCCGGAGAAACTAAGGCAGCGTGTGGGAGGACTCAGAACATGTGAAATTCCTTAAATAAAAATTTATTAACTTTAAATAATAGTGCCTATGTTGCAAATAATAGAAACCATTTACACTTTTTATAAAAAAAAAAAAAATCTTGGGCCAAAATGACCGGGGTTATTTTTTCCTGACCTTACCTTACATGAAAAATAAATTCCCACCCGATCCCCACTTTATTTTTTACTTACTTTTAAGACCACCCCACACTGTGAATTGAAATTTGTGATAGTTTAGCCCAGGCAAGCCAGGTCTATCTTAGCACCATGATAAAGAACAGCGAACAGCCCTGGCCGGTTTGGCTCAGTGGTTAGAGCGTCAGCCTGCGGTCCACAGAGACCCGGCTTCGGTTCCCGCTAAGGGCATGTACCTTGGCTGCAGTTTGTCCCCGGCCCTGGTTGGGTCGTGTGGGTGGCGGCCACTCGATGTGTCCCTTTCACATCGATGTTTCTCTCTCTTCCTCTCTCTCCTTCCTGCTCTATCTGAGTGAAAAATGGAAAAATGTCCTCGGGTGAGGATAAAAAAAAAAAAAAAAAAAAGAACAGTGAACAGTCAATATAAGACTATTGACAATTTTCAATTTTATTTTTTAAAATATTTTTTCTTTATTGATTTTAGAGAGAGAGGAAGAGAAAGGGAGAAAGAGATAAAAACATCAATGAGTGAGAACATCGATTGGCGCCTCCTGCATGTCTCCCACAGGAGATTTGGCCAGAAACCTGGGCATGTGCCCTGACCAGGAATCTAACCAATGACCTCTTTGTGCATGGGACAAGCCTCAACCAGTGATCCACATCGGCTGGGCGACCACTGACAATTTTTAAACTTTTGATTTTCTTCAGGGCATTTAATACACTTTTCTTTTAAAAATATTTCTTGCTACAATTAAATGTATTTTAAAATCTAAAATAAGCAATTTTGATACCGGCAGAGGAAGGGATTAAGTGTGTATGTGGAGGTTTGAGAGGGAGGCAGACCTTAGGAAGGAGATGAAGGGAGAGGGAGAAAAGGAAAGTGTGAGAGAAGGGGCACCAACTGGTATGAGGGACACACCAGGGGGACAAAGGGTAGGGGTTGACTAGGGAAAAGTGGCACCATCTCATCTCAGTGATGACACGCTGCTGGAGAGGGTCTTTCTGAGAACTTGTGTTAGGGAATTTGCGTTAGTGATTTGCATCAGCAGATGCTGAGAATGAGCCTTTAGTTTAGTTAGGAGACTAATGGGAAAGGGGAGAGACGGGAGGGAAATTGAAGGGGTAACTTAAGCTAAGCTTGAGGCTAGCTTCTACTTGTAGAATTATGTATATATAACAAGGGCGAAAGTCTTTCATTGTGCGGTACAGATAGAAGGCTTAAAATGTAAATGACCAGTTGTCACAAAATGGTTAACTCTTTGAGAGTATTTTTATGAGGTCAAACGTTTTCCTTCACTCTATAACAATTGGTATTTATATTAAGTCTTTGTAGATTTACAGAGAACTTTAATTGGCAAAATTGAATGTAATCCACTAAAGCCACATTGATATAATCAGCCAATCATTCAATGAGTGAAAGTTGTGAGAATCCTTTTTTTTTTTTTGAAATGATGACAGTAAGAAACAAGATAGTACTTCAGGATTAGATGGACCTCAAATCCCAAGCAGTGAGGGAAAAGCTGACTAATTTTCAATGTTTTCTGCCTTGTGGTTTGATGTCTTCTAATTCAGTTTTTGTAAATTTCCCTGGGTGTTCACATTTGCAGGAACTCAACATTTACCACCTTATACCATTTTTCAGGATCATAGCCCAGAAAAAAATTCTGGACCGTTCCAGGAGCCAACTAAGTACGCGACCATAAACTTGTGGTGAAAACGAGTCTTGCACTTTCCCGCTTGGGGCTGGGGGAGCTCATGGTGAGTCTTTGGCTAGGTGGAACGCACCCGAACCCGCGCTCTTCTTCCCTGCAGAACTGTACCTAGGGCACGTCCCCAAGGAGCAGGCACGTAACACCGTACGCAGGGCAAACAGGAAACACCTGGCCCTGCCGTCTTCTCCAAGGCACTGTCACCTCACACTTCCAGAGCTTTAGGATTTACCTGGAGGGTTCAGGTGTTTGGAATCCATGGCAAAAGTGGAATTCCATTTCTGCGATCAACGAGGACCTGGCACAAGCATTTTCCTATTTAAAAAAATTTTGGATAGGGGTGGGGCCCCAGCGAACAAGAAGGCTTACTCTTCCACAAAAATGCCATCCGCGCCCACACCGAGCACCCTGCCTTCAGCACTCCAGGGCCAGCGACTTTCGGACCTTTAGGTTTGAGTAAAGCCGAGGACTACAAAACAGAGACTTCTGGGGGAAGGAAGTGACGATGCGGCACAAAGCATGCTGGACCCAGGCGGGCTCCCCTCAAGCGGAGGCTCCTTCCTCGGAACGTGGCTGCTGAGGAGTGGGCGCTGCTAACAGTGTTAACTGGTATTTGTCTCGTTTCTGAGGATTAAATATGTTAAGTAGCACTTGGCTTGAGTACGGCTCAAAGCAGCTGCAGGGTAGGCCCATAAATCTGAGCGCCACAGCCTTCGCTGCTGTCTCCTCGTTTATGCCTCCTCCAAACTAATGTCAAGACGTTGGGAAAAATCCGGGGGACATCTAGCAGAGATAGAGCCGAAGAGCGAGGAGGTGGATGTCTGAGTTTTCTTTTTCAGTTTTTGGCAGAAAGTGGTGCGGAGTGAGCTGCTTTGGTCGCAGGAGAGCAGAGAGAGGGTCTGAGCGCCTGCAGACCGGCGCCCCGAGCCAGCGTGAAGGCGATCGGGACCGCGGCTGGGCTGGGCTGGAAGTGTGCCAGACGAGTTACCCCAGCCTGGGCCCGCGGCTTTCACACTGGATAGTAAATATCGTATTAACTATTTTCCGATACGGTACTTAAGGCAAATCACAGATGTTCTTTACCTCTAGGATGGAGATCAGGGATAAGACATTTGCTTGGGTGGAACATATATATTAACCCGAACTGGTGGTTGTTTTAGATCTAGCCAGATGGCAACTGCGAATGAATGGATGAAGAAGGGTCCCTTAGAATGGCAGGATTACACTTACAAAGAAGTCAGAGTGACAGCGAGTGAAAAGGAGTATAAAGGATGGGTTTTAACCACAGACCCAGTCTCTGCCAAGTGAGTATGGGTCCTGCTTTCCTGAAATCATGACACCCTTTTCTGCCTCTGTTATATCCAAACTCAGAAAGTGGATAATGAAAGACAAATTATTCCCATATATGAATTTTATTGCCTTTGAATCTAAGTGCGGCTCTATGGATTACCTTGTCAGATTAGCCAAATTCATAGAAATGAGACATTTTTTTCTTACTACTTTTTGTTGGAAAATTTCAAACATACACAAACATAAATAGAATGGTATAAGGCCCTGGCCGGTGTCACTCAGTTGGTTGAGCATCGTCTCATACACCGAGAGGTCACGGTTGGATTTCCAGTTGGGCCACATGCCTGGTTTCCGGCTGCATCCCCAGTAGGAGGTGTGCAGGTTCTGGCCAACTGGCATGTTTCTCTCTCTCCCTCTCCCGCGCTCTAGAATAAATAAAAACATTTTTAAAAAATGGTGTTAGAAATACTAATCTTACCCCTCCTTCCATGTATTTTAAAGCCAATTGTAGACATATAATTTTGTTTATAAATATGTCAATATATCTCTTAGTAGATTGGAACTCTTTAACAAATGTAAGCATAATATTATAACATCTAACAACAGTAATAATTATTTTAATATTAGCTAAATCCTAGTTTGAGTTCAGATTTGCCTGATTGTCTCCAAAATATCTTTTTACATTGGTTTATAAATTTGGTTGATATGTCTCTTAAGTATCTTTTTTTTTCCTCACCCGAGGACATTTTTCCATTTTTTTTTTTGTTCAGGTAGAGTGGGAGGGAGAGAGAGGAACAGAGAGAGAGAGAGAAACATCGATGTGAAAGGAACACATCGAGTGGCTGCCACCCGCACGACCGACCAGGGCTGGGGACAAACTGCAACCGAGGTACATGCCCTTAGCGGGAACCGAACCCGGGTCTCTCAGGACCACAGGCCGACGCTCTAACCGCTGAACCAAACTGGCCAGGGCTTAAGTATCTTTTTTTTAATCCTCACCTGAGGACATTTTTGCATTTATCTTCAGATAGAGTGGGAAGGAGAGAAGGAGGAAGAGAGAGAGAAACATTTATGTGAGAGAGACACATCAAGTGGCTGCCACCCAATGACCCCAACTGGGGCTGGGAACAACTGCAACTGAGGTTTTGCCCTTAGTGGGAACTGAACCTGCAACTCTCTGATCTGCTGTCCGACCCTCTAACCACTAAACCAGACCAGCCAAGTCTCTTAAGTATCTTAATCTATAATTCTGCATTTTCTCTTTTTAGTTTTCCTTGTTCCTTATTTGTTGAAGAAAATGAGTCATTTGTTTGATAGAATTGAACCCATTCTGGATTGAGCTTATTGCATTATCATGATGTAGTTTATTTTTTTAAAATATGTTTTTATTGATTTTATAGAGAGAGAGGAAGAGGGAGAGAGAAACATCAATAGGCTGCCTCCTGCACACATGCCTGAAACCTGGGCATGTGCCCTGACTGGTAATCTAACTGGTGACCTTTCAGTTCACCAGATGAAGATGATGTAGTTTTTTTTGTTTGTTTATATTTTTTATCTTCACCTGAGGATATTTTTCCATTTATCATCAGACAGAGTGGGAGGTGGGGGGGGGGGGGGGGGAGAGAGAGAGAGAGAGAGAAAGAAAGAAAAAGAAAGAAAGAAAGAAAGAAAGAAGTGAGAGGAACACATCGACTGGTTGCCTCCCACATGACCCGACCAGGGCTGTGGACGAACTGCAACCAAGGTATGTACTCTTGACCTGAATCGAACCCAAGAGTTTTTGGTTCGTGGGCTGACGCTCTAACCACTGAGGAAACTAGCCAGGGCTGATGACATAGTTTAACATGTTCTTTTATACCCTGCATTTCCTATAAACTGCTATTCGTATTTAGAGGTTTGATTAGGATCAGATTTATTTATTTTTCTTTATTGATTTTTAGAGAGAGAGGAAGGGAGAGGGAGGGAGAGATAGAAACATCAATGAGAGAGAACATTGATTGGCCACCTCCTGCATGCCCCCTCCCCCCCACTGGGGATTTGGCCTACAACCTGAGTACATGCCCTGACTGGGAATCAAACCGGCGACTTCTTGTTGCATGGGTTGACACTTGACCACTGAGCCACACCGCTGGGCTGATTTATTTTTTGCAAGACTACTTTAAAGGTGGTCACACACATACACACTTTTTATTTTGGAATGGTTTTAGATTTACAGAAAAGTTACAAAGAAAGTACAGAGAATACCCATGTATCCAGCTCCCCCTAATGTTAGCATCTTACAATGTGCATTTGTCAAAACTATACATTTATATGAACTAAACTAATCAATTGGATTTTATCAGTTTTTCCACTAATGCCCTTTTTCTATTCCAGGATCCAATCTAGGATCCCACGTTACATTTAATCACGTATCCTAGTCTCCTCGATCTGTGACAGTTTTTCAGTCTTTCCTTGTTTTTTATGACCTTAACTCATTTGAAGAGTACTGGTGAGGTATTTTGTAGAATGTCTCTCAGTTTGAGTTTGTGTGATGTTTTCTCATTAGTAGACTTGGTTTTGGGGAAAAGTAAGTACCACAGAAGTGAAATTCCCTTCACATCACATCGTATCATATATCATATTGTATTTTATTTAGAGTTTTTGCATTTGTATATGTGAATGAGATTAGCTTGTAGTTTTATTTTTTAATCCTGTCACCTTCTTTTGGTATCAAGGTTATATTAACCTCATTGAACATGTTAAGGCATAGTCCCCTTTTATAGACTCTAGAAGAATTTGATTAGATTAGAAATGTTTGATCCTTGAAAATTTTATAGAATTTATAGATTGCCTGGGTCTTTTTCCCCTTCCATGGGAAGTTTTTAAACTAGTTTCTCAGTTTTTATTTAAAGATTATTGGACTATTTACACTCTCTCTCTCTCTTTCTCTCTTCTCCCCCCCCTCCCCCCAGTGGTAGAAACTTATGTTTTCCAGGAAGTTATCTGTTTTAATTTCAAAATTAGTAGCATAAATTTGTTCTTTATATTTTATACTGCCTTATTCTTAGTATTATTTATATGTCTTCTTTCTTATAAACTTTTTAAAATTTATTGATTAGAGAGAGAGAGAGAAAGGGAGAGAGAAATATCAATTTGTCGTTCCACATATTTATACATTTATTGGTTGCTTCTTGTATGTGTCCTGACTGAAGATTGAACCCACAACCTTGGCACATTGGGACAATGCTCTAACCAACGGAGCTACCCGGCCAGGGCCTTCTTTCTGTTTTATTATTAATCTTGCTGAGATTTGTGAAAATTTTTTTTTTCAAAAAACAAACTTTTTGCTTTCATCCTCCTGAGTCTTGTTTTCTATTTTATTTACTTTGTGCTTTGTTATATTCTTTGGTTTGCTTAGAAGAGGAGTTATTCAATTGTTTTAACTCTAAAAGTTAAATCTGTACCCTCTCTTCAGGACACAGTTAAGGCATTCAAAGCTCTTTGAGTAATACTTTCACTGCCTCCCACAGTGATTAGCTTTAGGCTGAACAAAAGTTTAGATGTTTAGGACCCTCAGTGAAAGCGTCTGGTGGTGACAGGATTAATTTTAAACAGGGAAGAGCAGTCCCTATTCTAATGACCTTCTGGGGTTGATGCCTCTCGTTCCGTGGCTTCTTCCATAGTTTTACGGGCCTTTAGGTTTTTCTTTTGAAAATCTGCTCTGAACTTTCTTTTCCTCCAAAGTATTGTCCTCGTGAACTTCCTTGAAGATGGCAGCATGTCTGTGACCGGAATTATGGGACATGCTGTGCAGACTGTTGAAACTGTGAATGAAGGGGACCATGGGGTGAGAGAGAAGCTGATGCGTTTGTTCACGTCTGGAGACTGCCCGGCACACAACCTTGAGGATCTGGAAAAGAGAAAGAACAGCCTAAAGAAGTGGCTCGAGAAGAATCACATCCCTGTCACTGAACAAGGAAATGCACCAAAGACTCTCTGTGTGGCTGGGGTCCTGACTATAGACCCACCGTATGCTCCAGAGAATTGCAGCAGCTCTAATGAGATTATTCTGTCCCGTGTGCAGGATCTTATTCAAGGACATCTTGCAGTTTCACAATGAGTGGCCAAGAACTATGGATGCGTTGAAATACGACTTATTTTTCCTTTCTTCATACAATGTTTTGAATGTTAAGGCCATCATATTACAGGACTTTAAAAGCACACAAGTGTGTATGTGAATTTTAATTTGTTGTCTTGGTAAAATCAAAGATGTAGATTACGAGTGCTAATAAATAGTGAACTGTGACAAGGATAATACCACATGCAACAAAATTAGCACAGGGACATCAGAACTTAAGTCTTTTCTTTTGATGGAGATATACATCCATTTTGTTAGGCAAGAAATATATTTGGAAAAATCACAACATGTTACATTCAGTATAAAATGCAGTAAGTCCCTTGTGCTAACTATATGTGTCTGTTAAAATTTGTGTGTGTGTGTGTGTGTGTGTGTGTGTGTGTGTGTGTGATGAAACTGGTTGAAACTTCAAAGTTTTGACTGTTGGTGAAAATCTTCACACATGAGCCTTATAACTCTCAAAGTGAGAACGGGCTGGTATCGCTGAGGAAGAAGGTAAATGTGACAGGCATCTTGCAGCTGAATTCAACTCAGTTCCTTTGCCTGGTCCCCATTTCTCAGGGTTAGGCTCTGTGTGGAGGCTTCTGGGCTAGAAAGGGGCCTTTTCATGGGCATGTCTAGAATGACACAAGGTCACATTAGATTAGAACTCGGAGGCCCTGACTCCCTAGGTCAGGGTTCAACAAAATGTGGGCCCTTAGGACAAATCCAGCTTGCCGCCTCCATTTGTTAAAGTTTTATTGGAACACACCTACTAGTTTATGTTTTATGTGCACTTGCTTTTTAGACATAATGGCAGAGTTGAGTATTGGGACAGAAACGATATGGCTTATATTTAAGAAAAAATATGGCCCTTTACAGAAAGTCCTTCCCTCACAACTTTGAAGTTCCATGATCCTGTATGAAATTTGGTGCATAACCTTTCTCCTTGTGACCTTGGAATGTCTTCGCAAAGCAAATAGGGGAAGGTTAATGAAATTAAATTTAGCATGGAAAAGATTCTGACACAATGAGGCCTTGAGAGAGTAAACCGTACAGGAAATTACTCACAGCATCATTTGGGTTTTGTCCTTGGCGCAGGGACAGGTGCATTGGTGTTGGTAGATTTATTTGCTGTCCGACTGATGAGCTGGGGACAGAGACTGTTTCTTGGCAATTGGTCTTCTGATTGTTTAAGCAATTTACCTGAGTGCTGAGGAAGTTCATAATCTGGTTCTGCCGTGAAAACCTGTCTGCTTTGGGAGTTGCCCCAGCCAGTTCCTCAGCTAAGAATCTCCCCCAGGAGTTTAACTCAGCTGTTTCAGATCCCCCTCTGGTTCCAGAGGCCCAGAGGAAGATTTCTCCCCAAAGCTGGCTGTACCCCCTGCCGGCAGGAGGCGGTCGCCAGGGCAGCGGTCCCCTTGCGGCAAAGTTTCTAACCTTTGCACTGATTTCTTGCTATCCCATTATTAATCTGATTTCCTAAATTAAATCTCTCCACATTTTCCTAAAGAAGTTATTGCTGAAATAGGTTTTTCCATGAATTAAGTTAAAAAATATATATATTAATGAAAAATTTAAAACATTCACAATCATTTTATTTGATGAGAACTGGTGAAAATTTCATGATGCCTTGAAGTAGATTCTGAAATGCTGGAGTCAGGGGTAAGGATTACTGTAATTCATGCTTATGTTCTGGGAGAAACCAGAACAGTGAAGGACTATAATTACACATACTTAATTGCTTCTACTGCCAAATACAGTTGTGTTTTTTAAAACTATTGTGCCCTGCCCAGTGTGGCTCAGTTGGTTGAGCACCGTACCATGCACTGAAGGGTTGCCAGTTCGATTCCTGGTCAGGGGCATGCAGGAGGCAGCCGATCAATGTATTGCTCTCATATAGATGTTTCTCTCTCTCCCTCTCCCTTCCTCTCTAAAAATTAATTTTAAAAATCTAAAAAAAAAAATGTATAAAAATATAAACCACTTTATTGAGGTATGATTAACATAACATATTCAATGTATGCAACTTGCTAGGCTGGAGATACATCTGTGAACCATCACCATAATGTCTGCCATGAGCATATCTATCACCTCCATAAGTTTTCTCCTGCCCTTATTTTTTATCCTCACCGGAGGACATTTTTGCATTTCAGATAGAGCAGGAGGGAGAGAGGGAGGAAGAGAGAGAGACAGAAATATCGATGCGAGAGAGACACATCGACTAACCAGTCGGTTGCCACCCACACAACCCTCTACTGCGGCCGGGGACAAACTGCAACCGAGGTACATGCTCTTAGTGGGAACCGAACCCAGGTCTCTCTGGACCACAGGCTGACGCTCTAACCTCTGAGCCAAATTGGCCAGGGCTCTCCTGCCTTCTTTAATATTATTATTATCCAGTTGGATTTTATTGTTAAAATTAAAGGATTTTTTTTCTATTAAAAAAGTATTCTAGTACCCATACATGCTTTATACCTTTATATATTCCTTTCTAATCCTTTAAAAGTTTTTACGTAATTGTAATCAATGTATATAGTTTAATATTTTTCCTGTTTCTGTTGTTTTTATAATTTTAATATTTAAGACAATATCCTATTATATTGATAAGCCACGCTTATTAAAACAGTCCTCTAAATTTTGACATTTGTTCTTTTTGCTATCATGAATATCTTTATGAATACATCTTCATTGCTATTATCAAAGACTATTTAAGTGCCTAGAAATGCAAGTACGTGTAAACATATGTAGGTTTTTCCTTGTGTTTATTTATTTATTTATTTATTTGGTACATGTCCCTAGTGGAATCCGAACCTGGGACCCTCTGGTCCATAGGCTGGCGCTCCAGCTGCTGAGCCAAACCGGCCAGGGCTTTCCTTGTGTTTTTAAATGGTTTGTGCTGCCCAGCCAGTATGGCTTAGTGACTGAGCGTCGACCCATGCACCGAGAGGTCGCAGGTTCGATTCCCGGTCAGGGCACATGCCGGGGTGCGGGCTTGATCAAGTAGGGGGCGTGCTAGAGGCAGCCGACCAATGTTTCTCTCTTACTGATGTTTCTAGCTATTTCTCCCTTTCCCTGTTTCTCTAAAAACCAATAATAATAAAAATAATAATAAATGGTTTGTGCTGCTTTACTTTGACAAGTGCAATAAATAAGTGTATATGCAAATTTCATCAGACCCTTAGAGTCTTTTTTTTTAAATCCTCACCCGAGGATACTTTTTTCTATTTATCTTCAGATAGAGTGGGAGAGAGAGAGAAAAACATTGACGTGAGAGAGACACGTCGACTGGTTGGCTCCCGCATAACCCAATTAGAGCCAATGACCAAACTGTAACCAAGGTACCTGTCCTTGACTGGAATCAAAACCTCAACTGATCCGTGGGCTGACACTCTAAATCTCTTCACTGAGCCTAATCGGCCAGGGCTAGACCCTTAGAGTATTAATATTTTGTTTAATTTTTGCTACTGAACATAAAATGGTTTTTCAAAGTTGTTTTAATTTGTATTTCTTTATTAGTATTTTCCCATTTCTTTATTTCCGGTATGGGAACTGTTTGATTCATATCTTCATTTTTTAAGTATCTTAATTTTCAAGAAATTATTTCTCCTATATTCTCATTATCTTGCCATATCTATTCTTGGTCTCTATCTAGTTTTTACTCAAATGGATACAGGTTAATGAACACTGAAATTATAGCATACATGTTCATTGCATTTCACTTTGACATAATGTTAGATTTACAGAAAATTTTCAAGAACATGAGGAAGAATCCCCCCCCCCCATCTTTTTCCCAGCAAATGTTAACATTTCACCACATTTGCAGTTTCCATGTTTGTGTATGAGTGTGTTCATTTTTTTCCCCTTGAACTGTTTGAGAGTAAATCATGGATACAATGAAAAAATGAGTACATTCTCCTACATGGCCACAGTACAAACACAGTACTGTGACTTAATACAGACCTAGTCCAGATTTCCCTCCCTCCCTCCCTCCCTCCCTCCCTCCCTCCCTTCCTTCCTTCCTTCCTGGAGAAACATCAATGCAAGAAAGACACATCGATTTGTTGCCACCCACACAACTCCAACTGGGGCTGGGGATGAACTGCAACCAAGGTAAGTGCCCTTAGCGGCAACCAAACCCAGGACTCTGGTCCATGAGCCGATGCTCTAACCACTGAGCAAAACCGGCCAGGGCCAGATTTCACTTCTTATCTCAATGTCCTTTATATGGGAGAAGAAAAAAAAAGTATATATATGCTCATGTATTGCATTCGTCATGTCCTCTAGTTTTCCTTAATCTGGAATAGTTCCTTAGTCTTTCTTTGACTAATGATATCAACATTTTAAATACAGGCCGGTTATTTTGTGGAATAATCCTCAATTTGGGTTTGTTTGATGTTTTTATGATCAATTGGGTGTGCACTGGAACACCCTGGAAATGATAGTGTGTTCTTCTGTGTGCATCATATCAGGAGGCCATGATGTTCATTTGTTCCATTTCCGGTGATGTTAACTGTGATCACTTAGTTAAGGTGGTGTCTATCAGGTTTCTTCGCTGTGACTTTTCCATTTTTCTTTTTGTAATTAAAGGTATCTTCATACATATTTTATTTTTTGTTCATCCTCACTTGAGGATTTTTTTCCTTGATTTTTAGAGAAAGAAGAAGGAAGGGAGAGAGGGAGAGAAACATCAGTGTGAGAGAGAGACATTGATTGGTTGCCTCTGCATGACCCCAATCAGGCCTGGGGATGGAACCTGCAACCCAGGTATGTGCCCCTGACTAGAATCAAACCCGAGACCCCCTTGGTCCTTGGGCACTGAGCCAAATGAGCAGAGCCATACATATTTTAATTAATTAATTAATTAATTAATTAATTTTTTCCTCACCCCAGGACATTTTTCATTTTTTGTTCAGGTAGAGTGGGAGGGAGAGAGAGAGAAAGAGAAATATCGAAGTGAAAGGGACACATCGAGTGGCTGCCACCCGCACGACCCAACCGGGCCCGGGGACAAACTGCAACCGAGGTATGTGCCCTTAGCAGGAACCGAACCCGGGTCTCTCTGGACCTCAGGTTGACGCTCTAACTACTGAGCAAAACTGGCCAGGGCTTATTTATTTATTTTTTTATACATGCCCCTAGCGGGAACTGAACCCAGGACCCTCTGGACTGCAGGCCGATGCTCCAACCGCTGAGCCAAACTGGCCAGGGTGCCATCCATATTTTTAAAACAAGCTTTATTATTAAAAAAATAAAAATAAAAAATAAATAAAACAAGCTTTATTGAGCTATTATTCACAAAAAATTTATCCACTTTAAGTGTATAATTCAGTAATTTTTAGTAAATTGA